GTGGTATTTCTGTAATAGCAACACTCGATAACTAAGACAAGTAGTTATAATGGTGACGTGAAACGAATTGGCAAGGAGAGGGGATAGAATCGATAGGAAAAGCATTGCATAAATGAACTATTATGGAATGTTGTTTGTTGTTGTTAAGTGCCCTTGAGTTGGTTCCAAACCTTAGTGACCCTGTATAGGGTTTCCGAGGAGCAACTGGGGAGCTTGCGGTTCAAATGACTGCAGTCCAATGTGTTATCCCACAGCGCCATACCAGGAATGTTAGTGTTACTCAAATAGATTTCAGGGGATGAGCAGATGTTGGTGGATCTTTTTGTTTGTTTTTAACTTGGTGAATTTATGTTTACTGGTTGTTAAATGTTCTACATTTTCTCCCATTCTATCCGGTATCCTCTAATGTGATCTCGTTTAGGGCAGTCGGTAGTGGTAGCCGGGCAGTGTCTATTTCTTCTGGTCTCAGAGTTGTGAAGACTGATGTTCCACATGTTTCATTAGCCCATTGGACTAATTGATTCCAAGCCTCTTGAATTCTTACCACTCTTCCTTCTTCCTCACATGGAGAGACTGGTAGCTGCATTTTAGACAGCTGCTCATGAGCTTTCGAGATCCAGGACGCTGCTTACCCAAGCAGAATGTAGAACATTGTCTTTGTGGACTATGTTATGCCAATTGACCATGGTGTCCCCTGTCACTATGGTCATGAACCACCAGGACCATTGCCTTAAGATGTTGGATAATGTCTAGGAAGTTTTTATCGTTTTGCTTGTTGTATGCTCTATATATTTATAGTTGTGTTTGTATGACAGATAAATTGTTGTTGTTAGGTGCCATCGAGTTGGCAACAACCCATAGCAACCTTATGCACAGCAGAACAAAACACTACCCGATCCTGGGCCAGCCACACTTGAGTCCATCGATGCTGCCACTTGGCCAATCCATCTCGTTGGGGATCTTCCTCTTTTTCTCTGACCCTCCATCTTACCAAACATGATATCCTT